ACTCCAACTCCCAGAATTCCCCAGCCAGCAATTCTGGGAGTTGGAGTCCCTCCAGCTTAAAGGGGCCAAGGTTGAGACGTTTTGATTGAGAAGGTTTTTCATTGAGATTTTAAGTTCCACAACCACAAGGGTTTCTCAGACATACCACTCTTGAAAGTGGAAGATCTAGCTTGTCTGGTGCATATTTAAGTCAAAGATGGATCTCCGAGGAGCATCTCAGGAGAATGGAGGGTTTGCACACGAAAATGCACGTGGCTTGCACAGCTCGGGTTTCGCACCGTGGACCCGCAGCAGCATGCCCTGAACTGCCAATCATTTATTTGCTGGACAGGATATTTTCCCCTTCCTAGTACATCTTTAACCAAAAGCACAAACCTTCAGTTGTCTTTTATACTGCCGGAGGAGAGGCAGAAACTACAAATCCAGGGAAGAGCAAACTGGTCAGAATAATGAAATGTTTGTGTGCTTGGAGGCGTGGAAATGGGCGTCGATCGCCCTATTTTCTTTTCAGACGTGTTGGCGTACGATGTTTGTGCCAACTGACGAGGGAGGGTGCATTCGCAGATGGGTGCCCATCCTCGCTGAGAGAAAGCTAGCTGTTCAGGGAAAAGGCAGAAGTGTTTAAAGTATTAAACCATGGTTGGGGAGTCTCCCGTAGAGAAGCACCCACCTTGAGGCTGGCTGGGGGGCACTTCAGATCAATTTCTGCTTGCAAGGGAGTGAGCTAAAACAGAATGGGCAGCCAGGCCTGCCCCCAAAGAAAAAGTGGGTTATAAGTGTAACCCGGAACCTTGCTTTCCTCCAAACAGCCTAGATTTCTAAGTGCAGGGAGTTGTGGGAATCTGTTCATCTAGGGAAGCCTTTAAGCCAGTGTTGTCCAAACTTGGCCACTTTAAGATGAGTGGACATGCTGGTTGGGGAATTCTGGGAGTTGAAGTCCACTCATCTTAAAGTGGCCAAGTTTGGACAACACTGCTTTAAGCAAACCCAGCTTTCGCCAGCGCCTTCTGCGAGCCAAACCTTTGGGGTGGCATTTTCAGGAAAGGACTTCAGTTTCTTCTGACCCAGGGGCACTCAATCCTAGCCCTGGTTAGCAACCCGCCTGGGACTGTTTGCGGAGAACCTTTGAATCTGCAGAGAGCACGTTGTGCTTAACGATGCCCAGCCCCGGGGTGGGAATCAGCAAAACAGAGTGCAAGGTTGTTTTCTTTCTCACACCAACGGCGAAACAGGCCGATCCGGTTCAGCTCCTTCTCTGCCAATCCGGCAAACCCGCTTGGTTTACCTGTCACTAACCCCAGCTTCCCCTTCAGTTGGCAACCCCCGGGGTTGGCCAACGCTCTTCTCCCGGGGACCGGAAGGCGATGGCGTCGTCTGGACTACCTTGCGGGGCAGACCCAACCCTGCCTTGGGTCAGGACGTTGCCTTCCATGGAGACAAGGAAGGATAGCAGGAAGGTGAATTTCTCACTCGTCTGCTTTTCTAGGTCATCACCCTCAGCGCGGTTGCGCAAGTGGTCACCAGCGAAGGCATCAAGGGTAACTATCTTAGCTCCTCCTTGGCCAGCGGGATCGCCGTGATGGTAGCCGTCCACGTCTCAGGCGGCGTCTCAGGTAACCCCCCTGCGTGCCTGCGGCTCCCCCTGGCAGATCCGGTCTTTCCCCTGATGGCAAGCCCACCCCTTCATCTGGCAACTCCTCGGCCATCCGACCTTGCACTCGCCAAGAATCAGCGGGTATCTGATTTAAACGAAATAAACAGAACTTCCATATCCCCTCGATCTCTCATCGCTGGAGATGGACAGCCGGAAGAAGACGCTTGCCCGTGTGGCTTGGTCCTTCCAAGGCTGTTGCTCCTTGGCGGAGATGCAACGCTAGGCTGGACGAACGCTAGGTTGGATGAACTGTCAGGTTCAGCCCCAAGAACTCCACGAGACAATGCAAATACAGTTCGGTTGCATTTATTAGCTTCCACCTCCAGACAGAAATCTCCCCAGACTGGATCCTAATTCCCCAGCCAGCCAGCCAGCCACAACACCGTGAATTCCTTAGGGAGGTGCCAGCCTCCTCTTCTTGAACTTCCCACGCTCCTGTTGGGGGCTAAGACCACGCTTATCTCCCTGAGCCTGGCCTTCATGTCCATTCCATCACATGAACGCTAGGCTGGACGAACACTGGGCCGGACCCACTGAAGTTCTTCCCTTGTTGCAAGGAAGCAGCTGATCATGTCTGTTCAAACTCTCCACCTGTCCTAATGGTTGGGCTACGACATCCAGCAGCATTGGGCAAGGATGGTTAATCCACTCCCTTTGTTGCTCTCCAAACATCCAATCATTCTGCATCAAGCAGACGAGTCCCCCTGCTGTGTCCCTGTATGGTCTCTGGCTTAACTCCCTGCTAACACTGCCACGGCTTATCCTGTTCAGGGCGTGCACTTGTCATGTACGACTATGTTTTATGCCCAGAAGGAAGTGGCTTGGTGCTTCTTTGCACAACTCCCTTGGCCTGGTGCTCAGGCCAGGGACTCAGACAGAGGCAAAAAGGTGTAAGGAAGACCCCTTTTGCTCACGTTTGGAAACGGGGAATTGCTGACTGACGGGGACTAAGTGAAGATGTCGGAATGGGTGGGGGACATGCAGGTTCAAGTCCCTGCTTGAGGACGAAGCTTACTGGAGGATTCGAAGCCGATTCTTCGCCCTTCCTCCCTCTCTCTCCTCAACTTTGTGGTGGAAAGAGATTGAGGAGGGATCTTCACACGAGGTGCCCTGAGATCCTAGAGAACCGATGGAGCCTCAGCGACATTTATGCACTGCAATAATGAAAATTGTATTATCGTTCAGACAATTGATGATGACGACGATTGACAGGAACTCTTCTCGGCCTCTCTTGCTTTTTCACAGGAGGACACCTGAACCCAGCCTTCTCGCTGTCCATGTGCCTGCTGGCTCAGCTCCCCTGGTGGAAACTCCCCATTTACCTGGCCATCCAAATCCTGGGGGCCTTTATGGGAGCTGGCACCGTCTACACCCTTTATTACGGTAACCAGATCGCCTCTTTGAAGGAGTCAGAGGTGGCTCTCTTGGCAAGCACCCCCTTCTGGGTTTCTCTTGGCCTGACCTCGTGGTCCTGCAGAAGCCCAGGTCAACCAGGGTTGGGAGGTCGTTGGGGTGGAAGGGACACCAAGCACCAGGGTCGCCTGGTAACCGGTTCTTGCTGTTCTGAAGACAGATGCAGCCCTTCTGTTGGGATCGGGGACTTCGCCCCTTCATTCCGCAGAACCTTGGAGCCCACCCTCCGCAGTCGCCCGGCAGGGGCCACACCCTCAAAGCCGCTCTCGGTTTTTTCTCCCGGCAGATGCCATCTACAGCTACAGCAACGGGACACTCAGGGTTACGGGGCCCCGTGAAACTGCCTCCATCTTTGCCACCTACCCAGCCCCTTACCTGTCACTACGCAATGGGTTTTTTGACCAGGTAAGACCATTAGCCATCTCCTGGAATTTGAAGACGGCTAGGATGTTTGCTCTCCTTTGCACATTCATCCAGGCCCAGATCCTCCCTACCTCTCCTTCCTTCCTTCCTTCCTTCCTTCCTTCCTTCCTTCCTTCCTCCTGTTCATTGAGACCCATTCCATCCTCCCTTCCCTTCCCTTCCCTTCTCTTCCCCTCCCTCCCTCCCTCCCTCCTTCCTTCCTTCCTTCCTCCCTTCCTTCCTTCCCCCCTCCCTTCCTTCCTTGAGACCCATTCCATCCTCCCTTCCCTTCCCTTCCCTTCTCTTCCCCTCCCTCCCTCCCTCCCTCCTTCCTTCCTTCCTTCCTCCCTTCCTTCCTTCCCCCCTCCCTTCCTTCCTTGAGACCCATTCCATCCTCCCTTCCCTTCCCTTCCCTTCTCTTCCCCTCCCTCCCTCCCTCCCTCCTTCCTTCCTTCCTTCCTCCCTTCCTTCCTTCCCCCCTCCCTTCCTTCCTTGAGACCCATTCCATCCTCCCTTCCCTTCCCTTCCCTTCTCTTCCCCTCTCTCCCTCCCTCCCTCCTAGCTGGCTGGGGAATTCTGGGAGTTGCAATCCACACATCATAAAGTTGCCAAGGTTGAGAAACCCTGGAGCAGACAGAAGTTTGGGCAGGCTTTCCAGATTCTGCTCTTCTCCCTTAATGACGGTGAAGAGCGTTCCTGCTGCTTCTCCTTCCTGACCTGGCCTTCCTTGAAGGGCTGATAGTGGCAAAGCACATCGTGTTCCTAATGCAGCAACGCCTCTCCCGGGACTAGTTAAAACCACGGGGCGGCTGGGAATAGCCCAGGCCCCCGTTTGCTAGGAAGAGCAAAGCGAAATCACCGAAGCAGAGCGTCCTTCTTCAAGGACCCTGAAGACTTCTCTCTTTGACAGGTGCTGGGAACGGGGGTGCTGGTGCTGGGCATCCTCGCCCTCCTTGATGCCCGGAACAAGCGCATCCCGCAGGGCTTAGAACCCTTCGGTGTCGGCCTTCTGGTGTCCACCCTCAGCTTAGCTATGGGAGCCAACAGCGGCTGTGCCATCAACCCGGCCCGGGACCTGGGGCCCCGGCTGTTCACCTACGTAGCTGGGTGGGGTCCCCAGGTGTTCAGGTGGGTGCCGAGTACAAGGAGGGCGTTCCCCGCTCCCCACTAAGGATGCCAGCTGGCTGTGTGAATCCACCAACGGGCCGCTGTGCAAACCTAACCCTCCATTCAGCAGAAACCCCCCTTGCACGTGGATCAGCTGCTCCGACAATGGGAACTTTGCCTTTATGTGGCGAATTGCTGGGAATCAAAAGATGGAGCAATAACTTGTACCCTGAAGCGGGAGGACAAGATCAAGGATAACTCTGGAATGGGCTTGCGAGAAGTTCAGATCGTCCTGGGGACAGGTCGAGATAAAGGACACAAACCAGGCCTGGCCCCAGAGCTAATATTTGCCACTCACACTCTCATCTGCTTTTGCTTTTCCAGTGCTGGAGAAAACTGGTGGTGGATACCCGTTGTGGCCCCAATGTTGGGGGCCACCATCGGCACGGTGGTGTATCAGCTCGGAGTGGAGTTCCATCACCCGGCAGATCAGAAGGAGCAGCAGCGCTCGGTTCCCGAAAAGCATTGCCCGGGACACGAGAAAGACATGGACCTTCCTGTCTACGCTGTGAACGTGTATGCAGAGTCGTGGATAGGTGCCAGTCCGGATGCCCGCTCTGCCGGCGAACACCCAAAATGAGACCTCTCCCCAGGACGCAAAGAGAGCCATTATTCTCCTTCGTTCCCTTTGAATGGGTTGGGTGGAGCGGATGTTACTAAGGTTGGGATTGAAGGGGTGGGTTGTGTATTAGTCAAGACCTGAAAAGGATTGGGGGTGGGCAGTGGCAGAAACGGTTGTCTGAGAAATGGGCCTGCGTTTTTAACACATTTTAATGCGTTTTTAACATTTTTTTAGCACGTTTTTAACGCGGATTTAAGACCCTCCTTCCGTCCTGTGCCGAGGGAAGGCTGATTTTCGGCCCAGGCAGGGTCCTTTGGTGGTGGCCCCTTCTCTGCATATGAACCAGCTGGAATTGTTTCGCTTGTCCCAGTCTTGGTAGGGTGAAGGGGCGACTGAGTAGGGAGACCCCAGCTCCTTTTCAATTCTCCACCAAGCATCTCCAAATCGCACTTGGCAAATGGCTACGACTGTTGTCACCTTTCAGGAAAAACGGGACTGAGATAAACAGACCCGCCGTCCACCTCAGAGCAAAGCAAACATTTTTGGTTCTCCGGGCCACCGTTTTTCATTTTCTGCTTGATTTTCTTCCAGCAGTGAACAGGGTGCATTTGTGTTCGTTGGTGACCGCGCCACGGCCAGATGGTTGCAAATGGGCAAAAAAGTGGAAGATTCTACACTTTTCCACTTTGCTTTCCAGAGGGAGCGTCAGATCCGGGCAGAATTTGGGCAGGATTTTACAGGAATTTTTTCCTCTCTACGTCGGATCCCCACAGCCCACTCTGGCTTTTTAAAGGCAGGACAAACAGGATAAGACATCACCTCTTTTCCACGCATTAGAAATGACAGGAGTCTCTGCTAAGGTTCTTTGACTCTCTCCAGAAGTGCGTGTGTTGAAAATAAATTATTTATTCTCACGTCATTGGCGTGGTTAATTGCATCCTGCCTTTTTGCAGGGCGGAGGGGTGGGGGAAAATTGAGCCAGACGTTTTTTTCAAATAATCCGTTTCCAGAAGCTTTACACATAACGCATTAAGGGGCAAACATAATTATTATAATAATTATAATAATGATTACATAGCCCTTAAGATTCAAGCGCCTTGGGAGAGGGAAAGCCAGGGAGTGGGCGGGGGGGAGACCTGAAGTCGCAACCTTTACTCTGGGGCTAAATCAACACATTCCAGGGCTAAAGTTGAAAATTAAACTGTAGCGGCCACAGAGCACTTTTTGTCAAGGTGCAGAAGTCAAATCGAACAGCCTTGAGTAAGGATAAGTGTAAACAGTGTCTTGATAACTCAATAACCCACTTCATGGATGTTACCAAACCATAATGTGCTTGTGCATCCAGGCTTGTGCCTGGAGCCTCAAGCCTCCTCTTAGACACGTCGCAGGACCCAAGTTGGAGGCTTTCTGTCTCTCTCCAAAATCCAGCATCATCTTGATTTTTCAAACAAGCAAAAAGAATCCGGATAGATTTGATGAAGGAATTCAGCGCCCCCAAGTTTTCACCAACACATTCCTCTTGCCCGCTGTGCCCATTTGGGGCGTGGGTCACGGTTATTTTTTTTTAAGTATGTCATTGTTTGGTGGGAGAGCCAGCAGCCACCAAGATGAGAAATGATTGGATTCCCTTTGCAATTTCTAGCGTTTCTGAGCCGCAGGTGGCCCAAAAGGGAGATTTTAGCAGCCTTTGAGCACCCCCCAAATTTTGCAGAATGTTAGCAAATCTTTAGGGTGGTGTTTTGCACACCTGGCAACTTGAAGACGTGGAAACTTCACGCCCAGAATTCTCCAGCCCGCATGCAGAAAACCTGCCGCCTCCTTGGGAAATCAGATGCTGGCCGAAGGGGGGAAAATATACGTGTGTGCCTGTGTTTTGCACACCGTGCAAAAAAAGGTTCAGTCTTGGAAATCAACAGAGCTCATTTGCGAGTTTCTGTTTTTATTTTTAAACCACCAGGCAACGTTTCCATGTTCCCTGGACTGCTTGTGGCTTGGCCCATCCAAAATCAGGGAGAAACAGCATCGGATCGTGCACATTCCTTACACTAGAGGCTCTTGTTTGTCTCCTCGTGCGCTCGTGAGCACGGGGGAGGCCTCACGCAACTGGAATGCCAACCAGCAACTCCGGGCAAGGCCTGGCGTGTCTGGGTGCCGAGATCCAGAGCCAATTCGGCATGAAAGGGATCCTTGAAGAAGCGGTAAAGAAAACTTGTCCAACTGAAAGCTAATTTCTCCGCTTTTTTGCTTCGGCGCTGTGCCCATTTCTCAGTGGCTCAGGTCGAAAGGGAAACCCAGTAGCAGCAGGATTGAAAAATGTGCCATTTTCCCCATCAGCAGTCAGAAGCCCCTTTGAGCCCCTTTGCCTCCATTGGGCGTAGCTAGTTTTATAGACTTTTTTTCTTGGGTTCTTTTTATTTTATTTTATTTATTTGAAGTTGCTTTTAGGAAAACACCTGGATCTCTTGTGAACTTTGGCGAACACCGAAAGAGAGGTTGGCTGGGGCCCATTTTTCAGGAAAGACGCAGCTTAGGGAAAAGATTTGCCTCCAAGTTTCCAGCACGTCCGACCAGAGGAAGAGAATTATTTTACGCTCCGAAAGCAAGCAAAAGTCCTCTGAAATGAACTCAGAAACCAAATGGTGGATTTTCTTTTCTTTTTTTTTTTAAAGGAGCTCCTTAGAAATCTTAACCCTCTTTTGAAAAAAAGTTACAAATCCTTTCAGGTATACTAGTTCAACTTCAGGTTTTTCTGGAATGTTTGCTGTCGGCGACGAAGAAAGAGGCACTTTGCACATGCTTAAAAACTTGCTGAGTTGGAAATGTGTTGGAAAAGTGTGGATGTTGGGGAGGGGGACAGACTAGTTGAGGATGATGGGAGTTTTAGTCCTACACCAGGTTGGGGAGGGGAGCTGTTTGCAAACTTTCCTTTTTCCTGCATCTATAAGGAAACAAAAGCTTGCCAAATTTACTAGACCCAAAACAGGAACAGTGTAAAAGCAGGAGATAGTCAGGAAAAAAGGAGATACTGGTTCTGTTTTGGTCCAGCGCCTTGTGACACAATTTCTGGCTAGCTTTTTGGCACAAGCTGAGAAGTTTTGGCTCTCGGTGGAATAAAATTCACGTTGGATTTGAGCTTCCCCCGCCCCAAACTGAGCATGCCCCTCTACCTCGCTAGCGCTTTGCACCACCCCCAAACCCAGTGATGCTACCTCAGGTCCTTGAAAAAAGCTTGTTTGTACCCTCTGATTTCCCAACTCTTTTCTTCCCCCAAGAAACCAAAGGTATCTTGTTCTTCTGCCTCGTTTGGAGGGTGTTGTTGGGTGTTTTTCTGACGAGCTGTTTTTCTTTTTCCTGCAAGGGGGAACTGTAACCATTCTATGAAAAGAATTGGGTTGGTCTACAGTGGCCCAAAATCCAGTACCACCTTTTAAGACTAATAAGTGCTACAAAAGTCTGATTTTTTTACTCCCTGATCTGGAACAAATCTCTTGTCGTTAACTATGTGCCAAGAGGCGAAAGTTCTCCTTTTGGGGAAAAAGGAAACCGAGAAGGAGAAAAAAAAATTCCTTTGTTTTTTTCTGCCCATCCATTAGAATACGAACAGTTGGCGAAGTTGAGAGCTGGGGAAGAAAATGGGAGAGGCCTTGAAAGCATCAAGTCTTTGGAATTGGAGAGACCGTTCCTACATCCAGCCTCTCCTGCTTGTGACCCAATCAATCATCCAAACTTAGGAAAAGTTGGGTTGCATCATCACCCTGGCGAGAGATATTAAGACTGACCCAAGAAGCTGCGGAACCTCCATGGATGGAGCAGTGTATCTTGGAACAGCCCATCAGTGCTGCTCTTTGGCTCTGTGGGGCACCCCGTCATTTCATGAGCATGGCTTTGGGAAGGATGGGGGTCTCCCCCATCAACCGAGAAGTGATTTAGGGCGGAAAGGATACATTGAGAAAATTGCATTATATGCCCTATCTTCCCTCCTGGGGTCTTGTCGGATCTACGGTTGTGGTTTTAATCGGTTTTATAGAACGTTTTGTTAAATTTATTGTGATGGCGGACATATCCACTGGACAAAGGAAGGAAGTGTCGGGAGAGCCTTGGAAAACGGGGCGCGCCAAAGGGAGGTGTGGGCCGAGGCAGGTTTGGGGCGCTGACTGGGGGGGAGCCGGGGTCCGACTGGATGACCTCGGAGGTTCCCTCTAAGGCTGGATGGGGGAAGGCTGGAGGCTTGGCGGGGAATGGCTCGTCGTCTCTGCCCGCGGGGAAGGAAGGAAGGA